TGCCCTAGGGCGGTGACGGCGCTCCAGCCACGCTCCAGCCACGCTCCAGCCACGCTCCAGCCACGCTCCAGCCACGCTCCAGCCACCCCCCCTCCCCCCCCCAGCCACCCCCCCGCTCCAGCCACGCTCCAGCCACGCTCCCCCCGCCCCAGCTCCCCCCCACCACGCTCCAGCCACGCTCCAGCCACCCCCCGCCCCCCAGGGGGCCCCTTTTAAATTCAATTTCCCCTGTGGGGGCAGCAGGTTTGCGAGGTTGGGCCGGGTCACGGGAAGCGCTGGGCATGGTGGTGGCGGAGGCTGTGCGGCCTGGCGAGACCTCTCCGGAATGCGGCCCCGTGGAGTATATCACGTGGTTTATGAACGGTGCCTACACTAGATACTTTGTCGCAGCAAGGTCAGTGCATAATGCCTGTGGCCCCGATGGCGCCCTACTGGTAAACCCCCTTCTCTTTTCGCACACAAAAACCGAGAAGATCCGGGTGGCCCCAGGGAGAAGGGAGGATTAGAGGCCCCCAGAGGAGAGAGAGAGAAGAGAGAGAGAGAGAGAGAGAGAGAGAGAGAGAGAGAGAGAGACTCGCCGCCTGGTGCTGGCCCTGCTGGTGGAGCCCTTGGCTCGCCTTGGCCTGGAACCCTCTGCAGGCCGAACCCGAAAACGTCGCTCTGTCTCTCTCGCACTCACGGGGCGTTCCGTGGCGGTGCGAGAGAGACAGGCTCCCTTTCGGAGCGAGCCTGCTGGCACCGCAGCCAGCCCGATAAAAGCGAGAGGCGGCGATTCTGTGAATACACTGGATACAGTCGCGCAAACGCCAAATCCGCTCTATAAAGCCGATAGTGTGCTCAGTACTGTACACTGTTGTTCGCGGTCTCAAATCCACACGCCGCCTCGCGTGGTGTTGAAGACCAGCGGGGTGAACGCCCTGCCCACGCCCCGCCCCGCCCCGCCCCGCCCCGCCCCGCCTTCGCCCTCGTTTTTGGTGCATCGCCCTCGCCGTCCGAACCGCAGTCCATCTCCACGTCCCTCCTTTTCCGCGTTTGAAATTTGAATCGCGCTCCCGGGGCGGCCGCCACCCCACCTCTTTCTCGTTCGGCATTCCGAGCTCGCCTTTCCGGAAACACCCGAACGGCTGACGTTATTTCTCAGTTCGAGAGAATCCACCCAAAAAAAAAACGTTTATTTTTATTATTTTTTTCGACGACGCGGTGTCTGCGATGCCAGTTTGTGAAACGCGTTCCCACAAAACATCCCCCCTGGCGTGGCGCGGCGTGCCCCGGGCAGTACAATGCATTATTGACTAACCGACGCGGAGAGCTTCGGAAGAGGAACGGGGATCGGACCGCTCGCTCTCATTGGCCGCCGAGAAAAAGGCGCGAAAAATTTTAAATTCCGCGGAGGCGCTGCGAGGAGCGAGCGTCGGCTTGCCAGCGCCGCTGTTGTGGTTATTCATCGTTCTCGCGGAGGCTGGTGTCGTGAATTTGCCTGTGTGTGTGTGTGTGTGTGTGTGTGTGTGTGTGTGTGGTGTGTGTGTATTTGTGAGCGTGTGTGTCCCTGGAGGCGCGTTCGCTTCTCGTTCAGGATTCCACCAGTAAATGTAACATCAGGACAGACACGTCTTGCATTTTAATTTTGCCCCGCCGCTGCCGCTTGAAAGCGCGCGCTCGCTCTCGCACACACAGACACACACACACACAGTTGCCACATAGACATCTCGACAGCAGGTGAGCCCGACCAACCGCTGGCAGCAGTGACGCGAAGCGAGACGGTTAAAAAAAATAGGGAGGGGGGAAAAGGGGGGGGAGATTCGCATTCGACTAATTAAAAAGACCTTTCGTATGTGTGTGCGCGGCAACTACGTGCGTGTGTGTTTGTGCTTTCTGCTCTGTGCCTCGCCCTGCAGTGGCCAGCTTGAACCCACTTCGTTACACTCACACAGACACCACACACACACACACACACACACACACACACACGTGTCGGGGAAAAAACCGAGGGTCACTGTGTCACCCTTTTTTACGTCTCGACCAAAACGAAGCCCCGGACGCGTCTTTTACTTTTACTTTTATTTTTTGGTTCCCGCAGCTTCCCCCCCCCCCCCCCCTCTCTCTCTCTTAACGGTGAGTCGATCGCGAGGCAAGGCGGCGTCAGAAGCCGGAAAGCGAGCGAAGCACAGTGGGCCAGAAGACCGGCAGAGGCAGCCAAAACTCGAAAAAAAAGCGTTTAGAGTTTTGGCCGCAGGCGCTGATCTTCTAGCCCACTGTGCGTTGTGACTCTTGCGTTAGGTTTTCGTGAGTGCCGCCGAAATTCGACAATGGTGCCGTTGCCGCAGAAGAACGTGCGAATCCGGAAGTTGTTTGCACAAAAAATATTTCCGTCTGTTGTGCGGCAGGGCATGGCGGGGCGGGGCGGGGCGGGGCGGGGCGGGGCGGGGGGGCGGGGCGGGGCGAGGGTGTTTGGAGGTGCGGGTCACGTAACCAGAGCACCAAATGTTGCGCACTCACGGTCCGCGCCACTACGTCAGTGGTCAGTGACGGGAGCGCTCCATCGGCGCCGCTATGGAGATTGCCTAGCTGTTTTTACATTTGCAATGGAAACACAGGAAAAATGTCCCATAGGCTCTATGATTTTCAAATGTTTGTGACATGTTTCTGCCAGGAAGGGGTCGTATTGTGAAGTTTGCCATACTGACAATCAGAACGGCATTTTTCTCTCTTCGAAAATAAAAATGTACAAGCTTGTTTTGATTTTGGAGTGTTGTTCGTGACCTTGCGACGCTTTCAGGAAGCAGGCACGGCCCTCTCCTTCATTACAGTCTACTTACTGTACTTGCGAACAGCGCGCCGGCACACTGATTCCGAGAGTCTCGCTTTGTCTCTCTCGCGCTCGTGGGGCGTCGCGTGTAGGTGCGAGGGGGACAGAGCGAATCAGTCTCGTCCTGTTGTGCGAGGTTCGGGCACCCGCGAGGCGCCCGCGAACACAGACGAGCCGGAGAGAGAGGGAGAGAGGGAGGAGGGGGCGACGCAACCCGAGACAGTACATCACCGCGTTCAAACTTTGGCAGCGACGGAAAGTTTGACTCCCCCAGCTAATTAAAACACGCGCGCAATGTTTCTGCCAACATTCGTTATGTGAGCCCGCAGTGCGGGCCAATGTGAATGCGCGAAGGGCTCAAACCTTGAGATGAAGAATGAACCCTGTTAGGAGTATAGAGTCAGAGCAGCAAAGCATGGTTTTGCATTTGAAACCTGTTGAGCATGTCCACGATTTAGCTGCAGCGGGCAAAGGTGAGACCACCGAAATGAAAATAGCTAACACCTGTCAAAACAAATTCTTGGATTTTTTTTTGGCGCGGCGAACGTTTGCGGGTCGGGGCTACTTCGTGGGCCCAGTGGGCCATCGACACGGTTACCGATGTGATTCCTTCCAGGCCATTTCCTCATAGCGTGGAGCCACCCCCTCCCCTCCCCTGTCTTTCCTATATTATCTCTCTCTCCAAGGCCTTCTAGCATTGTAACCGGCCGCCACGAAGGCCTGACGCCCCCCCCTCTTCCATCGTTCCATCCTCGCCCTGCCAAACGTCGCAGGACTTCTCGCTCCTCCCCCTCTCTCTCTCTCTCTCCTTGGAGCACCTCACTGCCTCGACTGGCATTTCACTCTGTAGACATTTTTTCCCCTCCCTCTTCCTCGATATAGCCACGTCGGGTTCTAATACGTAGCCTAAACCCAAACTTGTTTTAATCAGTTTCTGCGCTGGCAACCTGTGCCCCGCGGCAACCGACCGACCGCCCCCCCCCCCCCTCTCCCTCCCCCAGTCCCTCGCACAAACATGCTGGCGCCAAACGACGGGGTCGTGTTTTCTTCCTCTCTCTCTCTTCTTTCCGTGAGTTGGCCTCATCGCGCTGTCTCTCTCGCACCTGCGCGGGACGCCCCATGAGTGCGAGAGAGACAGAGCGACTCTCGGAATCAGTCCGCCAGTGGGTCGGCCGCAGGGAGGAATCCCAAAGCTACACTCAAGTCGCATGCAAGTTTCGGCGGTCCCCTCTTTTTCGCTCGCATTGGCACACATTCACACAGACAGCCCTCACACACACACACACACACACACAAACACACACAGGCACGCTCGGCAGGGGACGCGACATCTAACCGTTCGCGCGTACGCATGCGAAAAAAAGGAAAGAAAAAGAAGTTGCAATGTGTTTGTTTTTATTTTACCTCTGTTTTGTTGTTGCCGCGTTGTTCCCCGACGGACGGACGGACGGACGGACGGACGGACAGACAGACAGACAGACAGACATTCAGACAGACAGACAGACAGACAGACAGACAGACAGACAGATGGGACGGTGTTGCGGCGCGGTGGAGCCCTTTTGGTGTGAAGCCATTGAGGTGACCTCGGCTGCGTGAAAAATATTACGATAAAGCTGCATTGCCGAGGGCCGTGACCGCCCTCCCCTCCCTCTCCCCCTTCCCCCCCCTCCCCCCCTTCCCCTCCCCCTTCCCCTCCCCCTTCCCCCCCCCCTCCCCCTCCCCCGTCCTGGACCGTACAGTCGTGCTGCTGGGTCCTCTGCGGTCGGCCTGGGCACAGGCCACTGTTACGACTCCCAAGAGAATGAAAAAGTTTGCGTGAAATGATTTCTGATTTCGTTTTTTTTTTCGGTATCTATTTTTACGCCCATTCATTATACTGTTGCATTTCTACAAAAAACAAGGTTGTCTAGGATTCCCGGAAAAGTGGCGATACAGATCGGCAACTTTTGGCCTGTTCTACATTTCCTAAATTCCCTGCCATCCGCCTATGAAACCACAAATTTCTTCTGTTATTTTGAATTAATTTAGAAGTTTTACACTGCAAACATGCCTTTTCACCGTGATATGGATATGATAGTGACGATGCTTGAATCTTTTGTGTCGCATTGTTCTGTCAGTTCCTTCGGACAGTCTGCTGGCATTGGCTCCACCAAACTCGAAACTGATGCATGTCCTTGTCTGCTTGTCCCCGCAGTGACTGCCCGGGGCGGCGCGCCTAGCTGCAGCGCCGTGTGAGCCTCGGCCCCGCCATGGACGTGTCCCTCGTCACCCTGGTCGTCCTGGCCTGCTTCGTGGACCTGCTCGTCTCCACCGCTCCAGGTGAGTTAATAAAAGCCAGGCGTTAGTGGAAGCAGCGGAGCGGCGCTGCGGGGCAAGAGGCACTCCCGCCTGTTTAGACAGAGTATATATAAACAAGGGTGCGCTTTTTCTCTCTCCTTTTTTTCGGAGCGGACTTGAGCAATCTCGGTCGCCGTGTATCTTTCCCTTTGGCCCTTTAATACCGCCATCCGGCCGACCGGCCAGGCCGGCCGGGCCCTCGCCCTGTCTCTCTCGCACCCCGGCCAGCAGGCGGGACGCCCCAGGGGTGCGACGGAGACAGAGAGCAGCCTGCAGGGCCCCCTACGGAAACTTATAACTTACCTAATAGCGCGGAGTATCTCCGGCCTGCCTCCGCCACCCCGTGCCGCGCCGCCCTCCGGAAACTAGTCCAGCCCGCCTTTGTGTGATAAGGCCGGCAGCGCGAAGGCAGCCACCCCTTGACGGGCCGTTAGGGTTGCCACCAGGGCCGGCGCTAGGCTAGGGTTGCCTCCCGTCCGGCTCACCTGCCACGCCGCGCAGCGCCTGCCCCGCGTTCGACCTTGGGTGGCCACACTAGACACGGGGCCAATCAATAGAGACACCCTAAGTGAATTACCGTACCAGACGTGCCGTGCCGCGCCGCGCGCCGCCACGCCCCCGCGGAGCCCTCTCCTCTGATTGCGTTCCGACCCATCCCAGCCTGATCCGAGCTTATTTCACCAATTTGGCCCCGAGGCGAGTACCGGGCCAGGGGGAGGGGAGGGGGCCAAAACACCGGGGGAGTGGGGCAACTCGCTGTAGTGGTACCCGCGGAGCGTCACGGCGTCATACGTCGGTGGAGACTGAGAGAGAGAGAGAGAGAGAGAGAGAGAGAGAGAGAGAGAGAGAGAGAGAAGGGGGGGGGGGGGGGGGGGAGAGAGAGAGAGAGAGAGAGAGAGAGAGAGAGAGAGAGAGAGAGAGATAATGGAGTTTAGCGTACGCGGGCGAAGCGATATCGGAGGCGTGCCACGAGTGGGTAGTCGTTTCCTGGAAACACGTGAGGAATGTCACTACGTGACTCGCTGGCTGTTTTAGAGAAAAGTCAGCGTCCTCTTCGACATTTCTCGCCATTTTTGTGCGAAAATCGCGCACGAATTCGCACGTCAAGTCGGCCCGCGCCGCACACACCCCCGCCGTGTCGGTTTTGTTTCGCAGGCAGGCGTGTAGCCGGAAGGGTTGCCTATAACGCCGGGCGTTGGAGCTCGCGCCGCTTGAGCCCCAGTTTTTTTCCCCTCTTTTGCTCGCACATGTCGACACAACTTTCAGTCCAATTGACTTTACCTGTTCGCCTCCCCCCCCCTTTCCCCCCTCCCCCTCCCCTCCGGTGCTCCGCGTCCCGTAATACGTTTCCATTTCCGGCCCGGCTATTCGACGTGGCGCCCTTAAACACCTGATACGAACGCGACCCCGCCTTCCTGAGACTGGCGGCAAACACTGTCAAATTTTGTTTTTAAATGACCTTTTTTCATCATTTTCCTAGCTATACAAAGTACCAAATGTACTCAGAAGTACTCAACTAATAGACATTCCGTCGATAAAAAAAACCACTCAAATTCCAAAAAAAAAATTTACTTATTTTTTTTTACGGTGCCCTATCCGCCGAGTATCGCTCAGCAGCGCCTCCACTGCCCGGTATCGGATTTCAAACGCGCCTCTGCCC